AAATCTATGTGGACGACATCATATTTGGCTCAACTAAGGAAGATCTCTGCACCAAGTTCTCAACCCTCATGCAAGGAAAATTTGAGATGAGCATGATGGGGGAACTCAACTACTTCCTTGGCCTTCAAATCAAACAGAGAAGTGAAGGGACTCTCATCAACCAAGCCAAGTACACAAGGGATCTTATCAAGAAATTCAATGTTGATCAGAAGTCATCCGTTTCTGTCCCCATGAGTACATCCACCAAGCTTGATATGGATGTAGATGGAAAGGATGTTGATCAAACTCTCTACAGAGGAATTGTTGGATCACTACTCTACCTTACTGCAAGCCGTCCGGATATCTCATATGCAGTAGGTGTTTGTGCCAGATTCTAGTCAAAGCCAAAGGAAAGTCATCTGATAGCAGCTAAAAGAATTCTTAGATACCTCAAAGGAACTCAGAACATGGGTTTGTGGTATGCTAAGAGCAATTCATTTGAGTTAGTGGGATACTCAGATTCTGACTTTGCCGGATGCAAAGTTGACCGGAAAAGTACGTCTGGTACTTGTCAATTCATTGGCGGAAATCTTGTTTCTTGGTTCAGCAAGAAACAAAACTTCATTTCTACATCAACAGCAGAAGCAGAGTACATTGCTGCTGGTAGTTGTTGTGCTCAGATTTTGTGGCTGAAGCAACAATTACTGGACTATGGAGTCAAGACAAAAGAAGTGACAATCTTTTGTGACAATCAAAGTGCTATAGCCATCTCTCAAAACCCAGTGCATCATTCTCGCACTAAGCACATTGATGTCAAGCATCACTTCATCAGAGATCATGTGGAAAAGAAGGATATCAAAATTGAGTATATCTCAACTGAAGAACAACTGGCGGATATCTTCACAAAGCCACTAAGTGAAGCCAAGTTTTCCGATTTGCTTCACAAAATTGCTCTAATTCAATTAGACTAAGTGCGGTACACGTGGCAGTTCACTTTCCACGTCTGTCAGTATATTGGGTAGGCACGTGGCCTTGGGAATAGTCAAAAACCCAATCGCCACTAGCCGCAGAAATCGCCCAAATTAAAAACCCAATCGCCACTATTCAGATCTCAACCGCCCACTCAAAATTCTTCATCGTCTTCTTCGCGAAAAAATCTCAAGAAATCGCAAGAACCCTAGGCCTTTCTTTCTCAAATTTTTACCTAAATTTCTGAGAAAATGAAGGTTGTCGGAGCAAATGTTCATTTCCAGAAGTTAGAGGCCAAGTGCTCTTCATCGACATTCTTTCAAAGCTATATGGAGATGATAGCCGCTCAAGAACTCTCCGAATTTCTTCAAATGGAGATTCGCCTCAAATTCGAGGAAGAAGTTCTTGAATTCTATAGGAATGGAGAAGTCAAAACTGCTAAATCAAAGAAGGACCCACAGAGGACGTTTCCAGTCATCAAATCAACTGTGGGAGGAATCAAAGTGAAGCTTTCGCAGAAGAAATTGGGAGAAAAGCTTCACCTCCCCAATTCTGGAGTTGAAGTTGGAAAACTTCCAGTCAAAAATCTGGACTGGAAGGTCATTGGAATTTCTGGGCAAGTTTCTTCTGGCCCAGCGAAGAAAGCAGATCTAAACAACGATTACAAGTTGATTTTAGAACTAGTCATCGCCTGTCTCGAATGTGGAAGTGGAGGTCACGCCGATGACATCACCCAGGAGAGAGCCTTCATCATCAACGCTCTCATTACCAAAACTAAGGTAAACTGGGCTGCACACTTCTTCAAATCAATTTCAAGACATCTGGGAAAGCACAACCAGAATTATCTTTGCCAAGGTCTGTATGTTGGACACATTTTGGAGTCTATGGGTGCTGCTTCTAAAGAGAAGAAGTATGAAACCAGATATTGGCTGTACTACCTATCTTCCAAAGGAGAAAACAGAGCTGGCACTAGTGCCACTGCAGAAGAAAGCTCATCAGATAATGTCCCACTCATCCACATGGCAAAAACTGCCAAAAGAAAGCAAGTGGTGTCCCACTCTCCAAGCATTGAAGCACCACAAAACCTTGCCTTGGTATGTTTGGAAGAAGAAGAAGAAGTCTCTGACCATGGAGAACTTCAAAGGAAGAAGAAGAGGAAAATCAACTCTCCATCAACATCTGGAAATGTCAATCCGGATGAGTTGAAGGAGAAGGAAATTGCTGAGGAAACCTCTGTTCAAAACCGGAGCCCTCAACAGTTTGAAGAAGAAACTCATCAAGTCCCAAGCCTTCCAACCTCATCTTCTCAGCCTCATACAGATGATGCTGACAACAAATTCTGGCAGCTCTACTATAATTGGAGAGCTTGGAAAGTTGGAAATTCAGAAGAGCAACTGTTGGATTGGGACCAACAGCTGAAGAATGAGAAGATTATCAAGAAGTGCTTAGGTATTCCAGTCAACCACAACTGTGAAGATATTTTGAATGATTACTGGGTATGGC